TGTACAATGAATTCAGATTTGTATTTTCTAACCACACTAGTGTAAATGGAGAGTCCATAGGTTAAACATTTCTCGTAATATAATAATACCATTATATTACATAGATTTCATTCAAACTGGCATTTAGAATGGAGAGGAGAGAAATTGAATTCTCAACTTATTATGTAACTCAATATAAAGGAGGAAATGAAAAATATTATTTTCCCTCTAATCACATTATTAACTGAATGCAAGGCTGCTTATTTCTTTTTATCAACACAATCATTATCTATATATCTATTTATTCTATCTGTCTATCTATCTATCTATCTATCTCAGAAGGTTCAGAAGGCTTTCAGTAGAATGTTAGTATGTATAAAGCAGTCAAATAATGCAATTCCCTACAATGCCCCAGCACTGTTGAAGTTTCTGAGCCCAATTTAAAGTGCTGATCTTAAAGGCAAGGCCTTTCCATCATACAACCATTTAAATGTCTTCCTTTGTGAAAACCTACATTGGAAGGCATGAAAAGAGAAATCTTTTTCCTATACTCCATGTATCCAGCATATTACCAAACAGACCCTGTTAGACATTATTGTTATAGTATAAGAGAGGAACCCTAAAGATAGACAGACAGACCTGGATTATTCTTAGTGATTTTCTTATAGCTCTTGAATGGAATTTTAATTTAGTTTCTTGGACTCCAGTATTGCAGCAAGTTATAGGGAGGAACTCTTATCAACTGCGTGCTCTGTTCACGCAGATTATTTTCTGTTTGTAATTCTCAAGCACATGGATAACATATGTGGAGAGCAGAGAGTCAACATTTGTGTATTCAATCCTTGCCTCTCTGGGTTAAGACATGAATAAGGAAGGTGAATAGAGGGTAGACAGCTGGGAAAGGAATTGAAGAAAGGGAAGGCATAAAAAAATCAGAAAACAATAGATTGATCAATTGACAGCTTATCTCATAAAAAGCAATTTATCTCAGATAGAAAGAAATCTAGAAATAACTGTTTCAAATCGTTTAAGAAATTGTAACTTAATTAACTCACTATAACGGAGGATGAAAATTCCTCTTATCATTTCCAAGATTCTGTATTTATCTCAGGCAAGTATTAGAAACCATTCATTGAAATTTTGTAGTTCTTGCTTCCTAACTGAGACTGAGATATGTTCTGTCTACTTAAAAGATGAAGTTATCAGACTTTTACTGAAAAAGTAACCGTTGCCTCAGAAAAGCTCTGTAACTGTAAGAAGCCACATTGTTTACTTATGAGTACAAGTAAAAGTGCTGATTGTTTCATGGCACAGGCATAGGTTATTTGACGGGGTCCTATCCCCAATAGTTTATGCCTATCTGGTACATTGGGCAGAGTGGATATACCGTATTTTCCGGCGTATAAGACGACTTTTAAACACATGAAAATCTTCTCAAAAGTCGGGGGTCGTCTTATACGCCGGGTGTAGTTCTCCTGTAACCAGGCAGACCAGCCCGAAAGGCTCTGACGAGCCTTAAATGGCTCTGGCGATCCCAGCTCTGGCGATCCCAGCTCTGGCGATCCCAGCTGAGTTCCCTGCAACTCAGCTGGGATCCCCAGAAACCACGTAAAAGGAAAAAAGTTTTTTCCCTTTTACTCTGAGGATCCCAGCTCTGACGATCCCAGCTGAGTTCCCTGCAACTCAGCTGGGATCGCCAGAACCATGGCTCTGACGGTCCCAGTTCTGACGGTCGATCCCATCCCAGCTGAGTTCCCTGCAACTCAGCTGGGATGGCCAGAGCCATGTAAAAGGGAAAAAGTTTCCCCCCTCCAGCTTGCTTACCTCAGCTGCTAGTCGCAACGCTTGCCTTGCTTTGCTTGCCTGAATCTATTCAGGCAAGCAAGCAACTCCCTGCCTGCAATCAAGCAAGGAGTTAGTTGTGGACTTCAACTCCCAGAATTCCTCAGCCAGCAAAGCAAAGCTGGCTGAGGAATTCTGGGAGTTGAAGTCTACAAGTCTTAAAGTTGCCAAGGTTGGAGACCCCTGTTCTATTGGGTAAGTTTTTTTCCCCTTTGGGAGCTTTAAAAAAAATAGTCAATTAGGGTTTTTTTAGTTGTTCTTTTTTAGACCTAGCCATTTAAAGTTTAGGAAGTTTTAAATTTAGCTTTCATATAAAAATAAAAATAAAATAAAATAATATTTGTGCAGCTTTCTGAGATTTAGTGTGTTTCTGTAGTGTTTCACTCCAACTACACAAACACACAAAATCTCACAAAGCTGTATGTGGAATTTTGTGTGTGTAAAGTGTGAAAGTTGGTTTTTTGGACTTTTTGTGGCTGTGTGAGGTTCCTGCTTGTTGCAGGGGCCATTTTGGGTCTAGCACAGCTGCTTTTACATTGTGGGTGAGCCAGTTGTGTTGTGTTGTGTGTGTTTAGAGTGCGAAAGTTTTTTGGGGGGGCTTTTTGTGGCTGTGTGAGGTTCCTGCTTGTTACAGGGGCCATTTTGGGTCTAGCACAGCTGCTTTTACATTGTAGGTGAGCCAGTTGATGTTTTTTAATTTTTATTTGGTGTGCATTGGAAGAGGGGCAGTCTTATATGGCGAGTATAGCCCAAACCCTATATTTTAACAGGAAAAGTTGGGGGTCGTCTTATACGCCCAGTCGTCTTATACGCCGGAAAATACGGTACTCTGGATTCCTTCAATTAAACAGTTACCTTGTAGGATTGAGGAAGTGCACCTTCTACATTCCCACCACTTCAAATGTTCTGTATATCTCTGAAGGCTCAGTTCCTAGGCCTGGGCTTAAGGTTTCTATGGAATTCTAGCAATTTTTCAGCTGCTGTTAATGTATTTCTATCTGATTTTCCTTTTATTATACTATAAATTCTTCCTCTTTTGTAAGCTACCCAGAAACTTCAGGAGTTGGTGGCCTCCAAATCTGAGAAACAATAACAATTATAATGTCCTAGTCATTAGGCACAGAAATATATCAGCTTACTGAACTTAAGACTCTGGTAGATTTTGAGAAGCTCTCATACAGCAAATGAGTTGTTAATAAGAGCATGAGACTGATGCATAATTAAATAATAATATTACACATGATGCTTTAGTAGTAACTGGTGTTTTCATGTCAACCAGTATATGTTATTTGTTTTTAGTTTCACAGATATTTCAGTAAACTCACATTAGGTAGACTAGCATGAATGTATATTTCATGCTCTCCAATCATGGTGTTTGTTTCTTCTGTATCTTCTATTTTCTACTTATAACGTTATGAAATAGTCACCACTCATGCATTTAGACTTTCAGGTCTGTTGATCTGATCTCTGAAGACTGGTATTTTCACTTCCCTGTTGTATGTCACATTTCTGTCCGGGTTTTTTTTTCTCTATCCTATTTCATACTGTATGTACCTATTCATGTGTGGGATATGGATTTAGTGGCCTGGCATAGCTATTGCGGTACTGACATGAATCAGCAAGTGAGAGGAAAAAGGGGGAGAAGCAACTCATATATAACCTTAGAGTGCAGTTGATGAGCTGACCTGGATGCTAGTCAGGACTTTTGTGGGGCTGCTGTAGGTAACATTTCCACTGATTAAGCCTTGTATATAGGTGCTGGGAACTAAAGCCCAGGGTGAAACCCACTATCATAGTAGCTGGGAGGAATCAGCTGCTGGTCTGATCTGTGAAGAAGTGTGTGTGTGAGAGGGGGGGAGGATGGAGAGGGAGAGAGAGAGAGAGAGAGAGAGAGAGAGAGAAACTGAGAAGTAAGTTGCCATGTTTTAGGAAGTCCTGCAGAATGTGCTGCTGGACAGACTATGTTAGTCATTTGGTCAGAAGGAAATATTGTATGCAGGAGAATTTGCTTATGTAGTTGCAATTCCTGGCTCCAGGAGGAAGATGATGGTGAAGAAGTTGATGGGAGGATCCCCCTGGCAGAAGAGAAGCACAACCCCAGACAGAAGAACAAACTAGAGGCTAAGGGGAAGGGAAGGTAGGTGGCTGTAAATGGACACTTGGAGTCTCCAGAGGAAGGGATGGGCAGAAGACACACAGAGAGGTGCATCACTCAATGACTACTCAGTGGGTCGGCTGACAAAATCCAAGAAGGCAAGACACCTGAACACTCTTCAATAACACAGCCAATCCCCCACCCTCTCTTTCTATGAGAAACTAAAGGGGAAGAGGAGGAGAAAGAGGGAGAAGTGGTAGCTTAGCAACAGAGCAGGTGGTTGTTAGTGAATAGCCCTGAAAAAGAGGCTGAAGAAAGTCACACTTTTGCACATTAGTTCCTACTTGCTGTAAAAGAATCATAAAAGCCTCCATCATTTATTATTGTATTGCAATTGTCCTTCTTAAAAACATCCTGCTGCACTATTTCCCCCCCTTTCTTTATTGCATCCAGACAGTAAATTACCTTTCGTTATATGAAGTTTTATGATGTCAATTCTTAGAATACTTTGTGGGTTATTATTTTACCATACTATAAACGTTCCTGCTATCCCTGCAAAATATTCAGAGGCATCCATAGAATGCTGAGATTTTGGCAGCAAGATGAAAATGTTGCAATGCAAGCTCTACCCCTTGTGAAACATGATACAAAAAAATGGAATTTGATTTGTAATATTGCAACATGAATTTTGTCAATTGTTCCCCTTGTGCTTCCCATGAATGTCCATAGAAATATTACAAGATTTTGCAATCCTAATAACAGCTATATGTTGCATGAGCTGCTGAGCAATAGAAATTGGATTTTCGCTGTGTATAAAACTTTTCTATCATGTAAGATACTCATTTTCTTTCAAAAGGAAAACACTTTTTTGTGAAATAGGAATACTGAATGCATATTTAATCAAGTATCTGTAAACAAATTTTATTTAGATAATAAAGCCATACTTCACTGACTTAAGCAAAGTGCATTCAATTGGTTTTTAATTCATCTTTTAAACAGTCTGTTGTCAATTAAATGAAATACTGTTATCAAAAGTATTACTTAAGCTTAAAAAATTATATCATTAAAGAAAATATCCATTAAACAAACAATTCCAAGTTATGGCTTTTTTATAACTTGGATATGGAAGCTGACAATTCTGAGCTTTAAAATCTGATGTGACAGCTATAAATCTACCTACTGTAAAACTGACATGTTTGTAAACCTTCAGTTGGGTAAAACTGTGCATCATAGGCCAACAATTTTTGAATCAATGTACCTCAAGTAAACTAACTAAAATACATGATCTGTGAGTCCTGTGCAGTTTAAATTTTGCAAGGGTGTTGCCATTTTCTATGATTCAGTCACATGATCATCTAATGGTCCCAGCCAGCTTCCCACAAGGCAACTGAATGGGAAAGTCAGCAGGAAATCAGAAGTCAGTGTCCTGTCTCAGGCCAAGCCAACATAAGCACATGAAGAGGTAGTTGCATAGTTTACTAAATGAGGTTTGCAAGTAACCTCATTGAGGTTGAGAGAGTGCAAACACATGCACATGTGGCAAAGAGCCCCAGCAGCTCTGGGACGGCTTGTCATACTCTGGTAAAATGCAGCCATCCCAGATCAGTCCCAGTCCTAATCCCAGTTACTTCATAACCTGGGATTCATAAGACCCCTTACTTCATAAGACCGCTACTGTGTTTGCCAACCTAGTTGAACTTTGCTGTCCTCTCACTGTTGATGAGGCATTCCTGTCCTTGTGGTGGGGCCAGGCTGGGTTTCAACTATGGGGGAGCGGGGGGACCACTTGCATTGCATACTGTGCATTGTGGCTCTATGACTGCTTTTGGCTTTTTTTTTCCCCAGCCACAGCTTAAAGCTACTGGATAATTTAAGATCTGCTAGGAAAGAAGGAAAGGAAAGAAGGGCTATATAGCAAAGGATGTATATGCCCATTATGCAGAAAGGAAAGTTGTATATTGTCAGAAAAAAATATAAACTATTATTATGCATCAGTATAATAATATATGCCGAATATACCAGTATTCAGCGTATTTAGTACATATAAGCATCAATATACTTTTGCCATGAAGCTAATATACTGTACTGTTAGCAATATACAGTTCAGTGGAAATTCAGGCAGTACAACAGACTCTCACATATATTCCATTCTGCAGAAAAATCATGGTAAAAAAAATCCAGGTGTTTTTTTATGGATTGTAACACATATATGGTTTCATAAGTTATGTCTATCCTTCTGCAAGCTTTCCCTTTGTCTCCACACATATTTATATACATACTCTAATATGTCGGTATTTTTATACCTTCTCGAGAACTACTTTGAATGTTTAACGGAAACGTTTTTTTAAAATGTGAAAAAATCCAAATAAATAAATGCAAGTTATCTCTAACTTTTTGTGTACACCCTCCCACTTGTACACTGATGTCTCTGTAAACTTCTAGAATTTTAAAAACTTTTCTACCTAAGAACAACAGATTCCATCCCCTGTATATACCTTAAGAAGAGTCCACTTTGGCAGTTCAGTACTTTGCAATGTAAAATAAATCTATGACTCTTATTGTTCATCTCTACTAACTATAAGAGATTATTAGAGCATGAAATACTTCTACCTGGAAGCTACATCGAAAGATATTAAGATATATCCATTGGGATAGAATGCTGGCAGCAATAACTTGACTTAGCTGTGCATAGAACACTTGTGTTAGCTCTTCCCCTACACATGGACCATTTTGGCTCTTTGCAAGATCTGCATGCGGCTCCCTCATGTGGTGAACTATTGAACTACATACACAAATTTTAGGCCCTTGATTAACATGATAGCTGTAGGTTCAAAAATATATTTTGTTGTTTTTTAATCTCAACTTTTGAATTGTGCTTAGAGCTTGCTTCATAAAATGAACCTGGTTTGTTTCTTGGTTTAAGCTGTATTTGCTTTTGGCCATTACCTACTGGTTTGTCTTTTGATCTGAATACCTTTTGGTCCAGATCTAGCACTCATATGCTCATTCAGTACTATATGGTTGACTTGCATATTCCTATTCATAATCCTTATAGCATGAAATGTTATCCATCATCATTTATAAACATGTGTTGATTTATTCTCTTGAATTATTTCCATAGTAACTTTCATTACTTCAGTCTCTAAAGCCTTGAATGCCTGAGCAGTCTAGCAATTAATGTGTTAACATTGTTGTAACATATTTTTGGCATTCCTTTTATAAGATTAGCAAGCTAAAAGAATGTTTATTTTTTGCATATTTTTCTTTGTAAAGAGCGTTAAAGTTTTTAATGTCTGATTAATGCTATTGAGATTAAGAATAAAATAATATGTATAAAAGACACAGAGTAACATAGAACTGTGAAGACATTTTCATCTGGAATCCTCCTGACTAGTTATTATATCTTACAAATTGTCCCTCTTGTTCAATAATATTATTCATAACTTAAAGAAACGGCGTGGAAATTTGGATTGAGGAATAATTTTTACTCTTTTTCTATTGTTAAACTCCCAGAGGACTTTTATGCTATCATCACGTTACCAAAATAAGTTGTTATACTGACTGAATACTGAATATTTGTAATGTTTATAATGATATATAGCATATTTTGCCATTTGGTGAATTCTTGGGTATTCAGTCTTGGGATGCCTTTAGTCAATGTTTCCCAATGCTGGCAAGTATCAGATGTGTGAACTCCAATTCTCCATCAACATAGTCATTTTATAAGTTGAAATTCATACATCTGAAAGCTGCTATTGGGAAATGATGCTCTAGATCTACTGGTAGATCTCTGGGACACAGTAGTACCTTGGAAGGTTTCATCATTTCCTTATAATATATTACATACGCCATATAATATATGGAATCAATAAATGAAATATCAACCAACTATGCCACTGGCTCTGTTTTTCAAGTAGTTGTGCTGGATATGGAAGCATCTCAACAACATTGAATTAAAGCTAAAATATCAATGATTCTAATTACTTGAATCATTATTATTACTTATACTAAAATGATATATACAAAATAATGAAATAAAATCAAACAATAAAACAAAACACAAAGATAACTCTAATAAAATAGCAAGGTATAATACCATTCCAAAGAAAGAAGAGCTTTGACTACCTTGTAAGCATAAAAAAGGAAAAAGCCAACATTCTTTTAGTAGGATATTTGGGATACTAAATGTTCATTGGAAAAAACCTTTTGGACTAGTTGCCATCTATGATTTCTAAAAATTATATCTGTAATAAACTTACTGGTTATATCCATAATAAACTCACTTTTAAATAACCCAAAAGAGGGTCTCACATTATATACTATTTCATGATATCCCAGTTGGTTATTACAAGTAAATCAACCTCTTGGATTTGGTATTGAAAGGCAAACGTTTCTTGCCTGAGAACTGAAACTCTATATTTTGGAGCTATACACAGGCATATTTTAATCTGGATTCATTTAGCAATACATAGTCTATGGTGGTTGTATCTACCTTTTCCAGGCATGGTCATAGTTGGCACACCACTCAAAGTTGAAAAAAATGGTATCTTAGATGAAATGGATATTTAATGCAAAGTTGAAAAGAAGAATATCAGCATTCCAAATTGGAATCTTAATTGTGATGGAAACCGTCTCTAGAAAACAGACAATTATTTCCATGTCCCTGGGCTTTACAAAAATCAAAGACTATACAAACAGATAAGAGCCCTAGCTAACTTGGAAGACTGAGGAGACTGCTTCATGCCTACATATGGTTTCAGTTTTCTTCAGCCGTATCCCTATTCCCTGCTACTTTTAATACTTTCTATAGTGATCCTAGTAGGACAAAGATTCAAGTAACAGAACTCACCTAGAATTCTATTATCTTAGCTCCTTTTCACAAGACCACATATGTTACTGTGATCTGATATTATTGTGATTTTATTTCACCATCAGACCTGATTTGCTTAGCTTGATTTGCACACTATTTGCCTAAATCTAACTTCAGTTTCCTTTGTAATATTGGGAGCTTACAGAACGGAACACAGGGATACTAAAGTTGTCTCGGTCCTCTGCAAGAACTAATGCTAGATTTAGATCAAGAACGTGTAGCTGGGAATGATCTGCTCACATATCAACTTCCAAAATAAAGGAATATTAATGAACAATCTCATTTACAGAATGATCAGACCTAAATATCACTGAGTAATTATTCTAATTATTGTCTTATTTAAACAAAAAACAACAACCCTATTCTCTTATAAGGAAGTACATTTTTATTGATTATGTACAGCAAGTTGGTGTTTCATTCCTACTCCAGTATAGTATTTCTAATAAATCTTTATAATCCAAGAAAGAACAAATAAAAAATGAAAGTGAACATACTCAAACAATACAATATGTTCTTATTTTTACAAACTAAAACTTTGTCTGTCGTGCACAATAAAACTGTACATTATTTGCAGCATTTAAATTAGATTGGATCTAAAAAAAATTAATCAATTTTTCAAAAGGTGAGGAAAAGGCACATTTTGCCTTTAATTCAATAGGCATTTAGTTACACAATTTCATTACTAAAGGTTTTTCTATTTTCAAGAAATGATAAATATAGAAGTTATTAGTAGATTTGACCAAAGGGGGGGGGGCTTTGTTGTACATTGAAAGATCACAACAAAAGTGTAGTTGAGGGTAAAAAAACTAGCTACCCGAAGTCTGAACATTTCTGAAGGTATGATACATGTATATGAAAAGTTAGTGATAAAGACAATACTTTATAAAGCTATATTGGGCATATGTCACTGTCCAAATACAATTTGTTTTCTTTCTTTCTCCTACTTGTAAATGAGACAGTCAACCCTTGATTGCACCATTTCAAATGCAAATAATTCTGTTCCAACTGCCTCCTTACATTAGCTAAATTAAGTCATCAGTAAACAAAATTAGAAAATTCTCAATACAGCTGCTATAAACAACTTTTGAAGTTCTATATACTAAACAAATGGAATTCTGATAAGGTTAAAAATTGTTGACTATTGCTGTCATCAATATAAGTCATATAATTTCCGGTCCCTCAAACCAGTGCTGGTCACAGCAAATTATAATCAAAGATAGATTTCTTGGAGGGTGTTAATACCATTAGATTTAAAGAATTAAAAATACATGAAACTTTTGAGTTAATGAACAGGCTCCTTAACTGCTCATTTAATTTAAACAGCTGTTTGTTAATGCCCTAAGCAGTGTCATAAACTGTGAAAATACTGTTGAGTGCAAGACACTAGTTAATGCTATAAAGCAACACATGCTCTAATATTAAATGGATTTAATAGAATTAATAGAGAATAAAACATTAACTCCCTATTATGTTTTAGAACCCAGGGGCAAATTCTGGCTAAAGAGGACTTTGATTCTGAAAACACAAAAAGTAAAGTCTACCACTGTACAGCAAATCATGGTGTTTTTACACTCTTGAAAAAAAATGGAACCCTGATAAGCTCACATCTGTTCCAATCACAGACTGGATAAAAATCACAGTTTACTAAACTCCTAAATAACTAAATATGTGGAACCCCCAACAAGAGCCCATCTGTTACAACTGAATTTTGGATAAGGTCCCATTGCAAAATTCTCTATAATAAAAGTAGGCATTGTAAAATCAAAAAAGTCTGGTTAGTTTTTTCGTAAATTAATATTTTCCTGATATAGCAACTGAAGTATACAAATACTAGGTTAATGATCATAGTGATTTCACTATGGGATATTATTGACTTTAGTGTGTCTACTGTATGTGTTTGTCCTCTATTATAACCATTTGTTCAGCAACCATTTGAAGTTACGAAGATCCTGAATGACAGTTATGACTGGTTCTCAGAATTCTGGGTGTTGCAGCACTCTGTGGTCAGTCACATGATCAAAATTTGGGCATTTGGGGACCAGTCTGCATGTACAACCAGTTGTAGCATCACACAGTCATGTTCTCCTGGCATGGCTAACTTCCTCTTCTTCAACTCCACCCACCCAGCTATCTCCCACCCACTCTGCCTTTGTGGCCACCCTCTAATCCATTATAAATTCTTGAAGAGCCAGCAGTTTTTATCTCTCCTCCCCATCTCTACCCTTTTGGCTGCTTTGTACTGTCATCTACCCCTGCCATTCCATGTTGCCAATTCCAGGTCTGCACAGATCCCAGGCCAGCAATGGGAAAAAGATGAAAGTCAGCTGGAGGAGGCGGGGATAAGCAATGGAGTACAGTGAGCCAAAAGGGCAGAGATTGGGAGTATTGATGCATAGGCATCCAGCAGGAGAAGCATCAAGTCCTTAATTATCCGGTCCTGACCTAATGACTACCAGGACTGCCACTATTATATGGCACATTCACATGATGTTTTTCTTAATGATTGCTTCACTTAGCAAAGTAAATTCCTGTCCCGGTAGGACTGTAGAAATAAAAGGATAACAAAATTAAGTAATATTTTAATTAGAATAACTAATCTAGCAGAAGTATTAACATTTTAAAAGAAATCATCTTGATTTTTGTCTTTTCTGCATGTTCTGATATACATGCAATAACCTCTTTCACTGCTGCTGCTCTTAAAGTAATTATTTACTTGAGATAAATGCCAATGATTGATTTATTTAGAAAATTTATTGGCGGCCCGTCTTACTACAGGGTAATTCTGATGCAATTAGTTCTAGGGTGGGAAATCTGTGATACTTCAGATATTGCTGAACTACAACTCCTTGCAGTCCTTACCAAAAGCAAGGATGCAAGGAATTTTTGTTAAGTAACATCTGGAGAAGTGCAGGATCCCTTTTGATGAAGAAACACTAGAATGTGATACAGGACTGTTAACAGGAGGATTCATTATGGCTCTCATGGTAGTTTTATCTGAGGGTCTGATAATAATTAGGGTATATCATCCTTGTCATGTGTTTTCAATCCTGCCTGGTTCTTCGTTTTTATGGAGGAGATTTTGCTTTGATAAGATGGTTGCCTGATTCTTATTGTGATTGGTATGGGAAAAAAAATTGTGATTCTTATTGTGGTTGGTATGGAAGATTATTGCAAAATATATTCATATTTCAGTTTGTAGGTAAAACATTAAAGACACCAGATATGTTCACATAAATATTTGACAATAAGGTTTACGTAATATTTCTCTTTATATTATTACAATGTACAGTTTCCAGTTGGGCAGATGTGGGCAATGGTAGATTTCATAAAGGATTCTCAATTATACTAACTATAAATTTGTTTATGCAATTAATATAGATGTAATATTTGAATTCTTTATCTATAACATGAAAATATAATTAATGTTAACAAAAAAATTTCTCAGAAATTTTCTACAATATATTTTGTTCCTCTTTCCACATATACATGGCTTAATAGCAATAATATATTCTCTCTCTCTCCGTGTGTGTGTGTGTATGCATACTTATCATAAAATTAAAAAAGGAACTATTTTATTAGAAAGTGAAATCTGGAGATTTGCTGTGCAAACAGTATAGCATTTTTTTTTAAAAAAAAAGTCAAACAATTCCCTTGTCAAAGCCAAGCATATCTTGTTAAATATTAAGAGCTTAATATTTCAATAAATACTTCAAAGATTGCAGATGCACTCAAAGGTGTAAAGAAAGATGGATAACAATACTCATTAATTTTGTCACTAAATAATGAGGCATGGCCTCTCGGTTTTATCAATGCCATGAAAGTATAGCTTAGATATTAAACCTTTTTTTTTTCTATACTTATGCTTTAATATCTGCATTCTTTCATATTAATGTGATTGCAAGATTTAATTGCTTTCAATAAGGACTAAAAAAAGATGAGAACTAAATATTCTACCATAAGTATCGAATAATGAAACAAAGAACTGACAAATTAACCAAGTATCTGTTATAAACATTTTGAGGCAATTACATAGTCCACTCAGGTATTATTAAATTGGTTTAAATTTAACACACCTCCATATCCCTGCATATACTATTTTTATCCCTAACCTTCTTTGACTGAGAGGATGTTTTTAAGCATATTTGCCTCTCTATTATAAGGAATACAATCAATTCAGGAATAATCAGGGTAAGAAACAGCATAGAAGGAGCCACAAAGAATGGTAGTAGTATAGTGTCCTGTTGCTCCACCCTGAGTACAGTTTTGTAATACTTATAGATAGAATATAAAGCTACACTGATTAAAAATGAACCTTAATAGTGATACTATCATTACAACTAATCTTGTGATTATGAGAGGAACTGCAGTGACATGAAAGTGTTATTTATTCTTACTTGATTATTTTTTGCTTAATCTTTTCACATATAAGATGCAACTTGTGGAAATAAATAGACTGACCAGGAAAGTGTTTATTATTCAAACTCTACATTAACCTCCTGGTTGGAGTTTTAAAAGATCTAGATTTACGCTCTCCTAGCATAGCTATTAAAATTTACCTATACTAGTCGTCTGTGTAGATACAGCTATAAATTAATCACAAAATCCAACCTACTTTAAGAGAGTAGAACTTGGCTCAGAAGTACATCTATCTTCTTTTGATTAAATGGCTATTAAACAAATGAAATGTTAGCCAAAACCCACATAACAACAACTGAAACTTTCTTTTTATAACCCTGCAGTCCCTATTTGGGATAGAGTTGGGACAACTGCATAGAGCTGAGCGTTTACTGGCCAGATGCCTTTCCTAATGCCTTCATGGAGTTTTCAACAGATATTTTTTCTTTGTGCCCTAGGAGAGAAACATCTGCTGCTACCTAGGTTTGAACTCTCAACCTTTCGAGTGGGAGGCGAGTGTCGTCACCACAGTGAAACAAAACACAAATTATTTTGGATTCACACTGCTCTGAAACATCTAGGGCAATATTAAACAACTGAAATATCTACGGCAATATTGCTTGGAAGGTTAAATGCAGCCAAAATAATATTGCAAGCAGTAGAGAGGAATGTCTTCCATATCAAAGGTGGCTAGTTTATGACTGCTAATATCATATTACTTGAAATTAAGTCACTAATTCAGCTATATGGAGCACAATTAGATCTATAATCCAATTATTACTGTCTGGATACTATGAAACAGTTAGTTTGGTGTAGTGATTAAGGTGGTGGCCTAGAAACATGGAGACTATGAATCCTAATCTCACTTTAGGTATGAAAGCTGGCTGGATGACTTTGGGCCAGTCATTCTCTGTCAGCCCAACCCACCTCACAAGGTTGTGATTGTAGGAAAAATAGGAGGAGGAAGGAATATTAGGTCTGTTCTCCACCTTGAGTTACTTATAAAGTAGTAACAGCGGAATAAAATCGAATAAACAAACAAACAAACAAACAAACATTAAATAAACAAAGATTCCTGAGGTTAGTCCTTCAGATTCCCAAGTTGTCTCAAATGTAATTTTTTAGCTAGGGAATTATAGGATACTATGTAATAAACTGTTTTATTATTTAAAAACTTTGAATTCTTGTTCACTCTCTTAACTTGGGGATACGGAGCCTGCTACAGCATATAGGATCACAACATTCTATGCTGTATCCTTTATGAAGTGGCAACAAAATTATCTTTCAATTGTTCAATAGCTTTATTGTTTCAATGCTTTTAACAACATTTTCATTTTTGTGGTTGTTTTGATAGCTATCTAGATAGCTAGATAAGACCAGTCACCAGCAGAATTGGTAACCTGGCTATTTTAACAGTTTTCACAATCATTAAGTATTTTTATGCTTAGCAGTTTTATTATGTTAGTGCGACTTTTATCATTTGTAGTTTATTATCTGAATATTTTAATGCTGGTAGCTTGCTGACTTCCAACTTAAGAAAGAACTGATTCATTCATTTGCACATTACTACATGGTGTTGTTGTTATGTTGTTGTTACTTGGGAATACCATTGAGTGTTTGGCAGAGACAATGTGCTTCTTAGGCAGTTACATATTCCTGTTCATTATTTGTAAGCTAAATGTCACAAATAATGCTGAGCCACTCATCTAAGGAAGATGTGAGGAGGTGAGGTGAAGGATTCTACCAAATTTGTAAGTCCCACTAAGTAGGCTAATACAGGAAATCAACTCTACGGGAAGACTATAACTGCACATTATTGAGATAGGCTAGCTATAATAGAATGAAAGCCTGATTATGCCTTACACTCCCTCCTTTTCATACTTCAGTTAATCAGGGAAGAGCCTGCCCAAGTCACTTCTAAATTCTTACTTCTCAGGACTTAAATAATATTTCAGCCCTCTTTGTTTAATGGCTTTTGCATATTTTTGTCAAGGTCACCTCCCTTATTCTCTACAAAATTTGCCTGATCAAACTCTTGTTGCTATGCTGCTGACCGCTGTCCTACCATTCAAAGTCCAGTTTCTGACCAGATTGCTGAACAGTGTTAAAGTTGCTGTGGTTTATTTGCTAAACAATGATCCCTTGAAGTGTAATGAAATGTGTGCCTAAATAAATATATTAGTAATGATTTTCATCTATCTGCAAGATGGGTGCATGAAAGCTTGCTCGCCTCCAAGGATTTTGAAAGTTAAATAGCTTGTTTCTCTCCAATGAAAGACTTCACTAAAATAAGCACTATGAACAAATCTCCAACTGTGAACTAATTAAAGACAATTTCCTTTCATGGTTTTCTACTAAATGTCATTTGTGATTTTATTCTGTCTTTATGTACACATTATTTGTAACATTTCTGTGAATATCTAACATAGTAAACTGCCGTTTACGAATGTCTTACGTTTTTATTTTAAAAATCTTTTTATTTCTATCTATAGTTATCAATTTTTATTTATTTTAATGCTGAAACTCTAAACTCAGAATTTAAATCTCACTGATTCAATCTTCTATTGAGATATATGAGGTTGTACTATCAACTAACAATTTGCTAGTGACTTTCTTAAATGTATTCTTTTATTATATGTAGTTATTGTTTTAAAAGAAACTAAGTTTTAAAAAATTATTTAGTGGCATTTCTGAGAGCAGTGCCCATTAAAATTAGAATCAGTTGGCTCATCCTGATAAACTGATTTGAAAGGATTTATGCATAGACAATATTTTTTATTTCTTTTGGTTTGACCCAATATTAGACAAATTTATATGTTCTTAATTCTAAGCCACTTTGTAACTTTACATACTGAACTACTGTAATAAATTACTCAGCAACATAGTTTAGGATAACAGGGCAGGGGCGGGGGAGTAGCGGTTATTATTAAAGAAGGTCTGAGACCGAGGGAGGCCACTGTTCCTCAGACGGCCGGCTGTGAGTCCCTCCTTGTGAAGTGGGGTCATGGAGTTCAGATGGGTTTGCTGATCATGTACCTGGCTCCCTGCCACGTGGCAGCAGCCCTGCCCAAGCTCCTCGACGTTATCGCCGCGGTGGCAGTTGATACCCCCAGACTTATGGTCATGGGGGATTTCAACCTGCCATTCGTGGGTGAGACGTCGGAGGTGGCTCGGGAGTTCATGGCTTCCATGACAGCTATGGACCTGACCCAGTTAATTCATGGCCCTACCCACACAGGGGGAAACACGCTGGACCTGGTTTTCATCTCTGGACAGTGGTTGAGTAATCTTGAGATAGGGGACATAGTCACTGAGCCCTTGTCATGGTCGGATCACTCTCTCCTTCGCCTTGACCTTCGAACCGCTATACCCCGTCGCAGGGAGGCGGAGCTGGTAAGATGGTGCCGCCCTAGGCGCCTGATGGAACCTGATAGGTTCCAGATGGAGCTTGGGCCATTTCCCGAGGCTCTGGCACATGCCTCAACTAGGGACCTAGTGGCCGCCTGGGATAGGGCGGCCGCTGGATCGGGTCGTGCCTTTGCGGCCTCTGACCTGGCGCCGATCTCACCTAGCTCCTTGGTTCACTGAGGAGCTGAGGGAGATGAAGCACCAGAAAAGATGCCTAGAGAGTAGTTGGAGGGCCAGTCTTTCTGAATCCAACCGGACACTGGTAAGATCTCATATTAAGAATTACCTAGTGGCAATAAAAGCAGCAAAATGGACATATTTTGCTGCTCTTATTGCATCATCAGATAATCACCTGGCCGCTCTGTTTAGGGTGACCCGCTCCCTGCTCCACCAGGAAGCGCGGGAGGACCCCTTGGAGGGTTGAGCCAAGGATTTTGTTCAATATCTGCATGACAAAATCACTCAGATTCGGGAAGATCTGGACTCCGACTGGGTAGTTCCAGGGGGGATGACTGAGGCAGGTCTTGAGAATGTTACCTGGGATGAGTTTGATTCTGTGACCTGTGACGACGTGGACAGGATTTTGGGTGGACTGATGCGACCACATGTTTATTGGACCCGTGCCCTTCCTGGTTAGTGCTGGCTTCCCGGGAGGTGATGCGAGGCTGGCTCCAGGGGATTATAAATGCTTCGTTGGGTGAGGGTGACTTCCCCGCCACCTTAAAAGAGGTGGTGGTGAGGCCTCTCCTCAAGAAGCTTTCCCTGGACCCGGCAGTGTTGGCTAATTATCGTTCGGTCTCCAACCTTCGGTTTGTTGCGAAGGTTGTTGAGAGTGTGGTTGCGCAACAGCTCTCCCAGTACCTGGATGAAACGATGTATCTGGATCCGTTCCAGTCGGGCTTCAGGCCTGGGTACAGCACGGAAACGGCATTGGTCGTGTTGGTTGATGATCTCTGGAGGGCTCGGGACAGGGGTTGCTCCTCTGTCCTGGTCCTATTAGACCTCTCAATGGCTTTTGATACCATCGACCATGGTATCATGTTGCACCGGTTGGAAGAGTTAGGGGTGGGGGGCACTGTATTATGGTAGTTCTCCTCCTTTCTCTCCGACCGGTTGCAGTCTGTGTTGGCAGTGGGGCAGAGGTCGACCCCGAGGCTCCTCATATGTGGGGTGCCACAAGGGTCAGTCCTCTCGCCCCTTTTGTTCAACATTTATGTAAAGCCGCTGGGCAAGATCATCTGTGGTTTCGGGGTGAAGTACCATCAGCACGCTGATGACACCCAGCTGTACATCTCCACCCCAGACCACCCCAATGATGCCCTTGAAGTGATGTCCCGGTGTCTGGAGGCCGTGCGGATCTGGATGGGGAGGAACAGGCTCAGGCTCAACCCATCCAAGACCGAGTGGCTGTGGTTTCCGACATCCCGCTATAGTCAGTTGATGCAATCGCTGACTATTGGGGGCGAATCGCTGGCCCCCACGGAGAGGGCTCGCAACTTGGGTGTCCTCCTGGATTCACGGCTGTCTTTAGAAGAGCACTTGACGGCTGTGACCGGGAGAATTTTTTATCAGGTTCTCCTGATCCGCCAGCTGCATCCCTTTCTGGATCGGGACTCCCTACACACAGTCACTCATGCCCTCGTCACTTCCCGCCTGGACTATTGTAACACTCTCTACATGGGCTCCCCTTGAGGAGCACCCGGAGGCTCCAATTGGCGCAGAGTGCGGCTGTGCGGGTGGTTATGGGAGCAACATGGCATCCTGTGTGACACTTCTCCTGCGCGAGCTGCACTGGCTCCCGGTGGTCTTCCGGGTGCGCTTCAAGGTTTTGGTCACCACCTTTAGAGCACTCCATGGCTTAGGACCTGGTTATTTACGGGACCGCCTACTACCACAAACAGCCTCCCACCAGCCGGTACGCTCTCATAGAGAGGGGCTCCTCCGGGTGCCGTCAGCCAAACAATGTCACTGGCGGCCCCCCGGGGGGGGGGCTTATCTGTGGGGGCACCCACTATCTGGAACGAGCTCCCCCCAGAGATATGGAGGATCCCGTATCTGCACACTATCCGCCATGCTCTTAAGACCCTCCTATTCCAGCAAGCCGGCCTGGCCTAATTTTCTCCCCTGTTTTAAAATTCTTTTAAATCGAAATTTTAATCTGTTTTAAATTATTGGGATTTTTAATTGTCTCAGACTAAATTATTTAATCTGGTTTTAATTATGTTTCTAACTTTTGTATCTATGTATTTTATTTTGTGCTTGTTCACCACCCTGAGTCCTTCGGGAGTAGGGCGGTATATAAATTTAATAAAAACAAAAAAAACAAAAACAAAACAAAACAAACATCAAAATGGCAAAAATGTCATGATATCACAACAAAAGTGTGCATTCAGTGTCATGACACATGTATAAAAGTGATGGAGCTTGGACGGGGAGAAATGATAAAAGAAGCATAATGATCCAAGCTTCCCCTTTTTTGTGTGTGTCATGACACACCATTCACAAATTACTAAGGGCAGATTAGTACCAATTGCTATTCTTTCAAAATGTCACTCTAATCACCAAACATTTTTAAGTTCTCAATCCTAAAAAAAATGCATTAGAAAAATGAGCAGTCTTGTGATACTTAAGATACTTTAATTACCCCCTCACCCAGGTGTTATAATTTCCTGGTTTCTTGGTGAAACCATTCACTCTGATTAGAAATTAGAACTATCACTTCTATTCAATTCTAATCCTCCTACGTAAATTTACACCCGAAATCTCTTTCAGGGCAAATTTGAGTAGTACATAAGCAGGGATAAGAAGTACCTCTACTAGTAAAAAAGCATTGGTTGGTAGAATCGTATGTGTTTGTGTGTCTGGACATAAGAAACAGAAGAAAATGAGTGAGAAAGACTTCCTTCTACTTGCTTATATTTTCCTACCAGTGCTTTTAATTCCATTTCTGCTTGTAAGAAAAATGCTAGGCAGTATGCATTGTAGGGATTTTCAGGATTTGCAGTTCTTCATTGATTCAGCTAATAGGATTGGCTTGGAAAATGAAGTGATATGCTTTATGTTTTAGTTTGTTCATTTAAGAAATCAGTTCATTTCTGTGTGTCTCCAAGAATTCAGGGGAGTTTGTTTATTTTTTATACAACAGAATAAACAAAAGATTTTTCAAGTAAAAACTCACTACTGTTAATAAGCAGCAAAAAGTCCATGTATATTCATTTATTGAAGCCCTGCTTAAAGTTAGTAATAATGCAATAATGCAACAACTTCACAAAACTGGTTGACTTAGTAGTTGACAAATCAACAATATTTCTTCCTTACAAGAATTGTCATATAATAGTTTTCAGTATATATATAATTAGTATATATATAATCTTTCATCTTTTCATGACAATAGCATTCCTTTGGATAAACAATGATGATGGTCATGTTACTTGTTTATAATAAGTTACAATTATGCAAGTTGTGGGCACTCTGTGGACAATAAATGAATGCCAATAGCTTAAAACTGATTAAAATTGTAAATAATAAGGCAAGTTTTACTATGTTATGGAAAACTATGTTTTCTAGAAACTTGCGTATTTAAGCTAAGAAATGTTGACTGGAAAATCTGAATATATTAAATAAAACAATGAAACAAACAACTCATCTAATTTGCTATAAACTTGGACAAAATGATGGAAGAATAGTTTTCCAGCAAATACTTAAATGTTGAGGAATCAATCTGCTAGAAAAACATAATACAGTTAGTCCTCATTTACCAACTGGAATAGAGACCAGCAACTCTGTTGCTGTGCAGTGGGGTCAAGCGTAATGCCATGTGACTGCTGATTTATGACATCAGTTCCAGCTCCAGTAAGGAAGCAAATCCCCCACAGTCATTAAGCATGGCTTCACATGACTGTAACTTGCAACTTCCTGTCAATCTCCACAATGACCTTGCTTCTTGAAAGCTGGCTGTGACTGTTGCAAATGGCAATCACATAACTATGAGATGCCGTGAAAGTCATAAGTTTGAGGACAGGTCATAAAGTTATTTTTTTTAGCATTGTCATAACTTTGAACAATCAATAAACAGGACAATTGTTAATTCAGGACTATTTGTATAATGAGTTGACTTGGTTAGTCAAAGACAAAATCACAAAGGATAAATGGCTGTATTGATGAAGGCAGCCAGGTTAAAAAAAAATTCATTATGTTGATGATGAAGAATGCATGTGGGAAAGGATAAATAAGTAGCTTCCTTGCCTCTTATAGATATACTTTACGGGCTATCTATAGCAAAGCTGCAGGTATCAAGTTATCATCGAGAACAAAAAAAAAAAAAATAACTAGAGTTTTCTTGCAATCATCACCTTTTGTTATTAAAGTTGAATCCTTTGCCAAGCAAGTCATTAAGTAAAATGTGCATTCAAATCACACCTGGTTCAGTTTCTTAAAAGTGCAATTTCAGCTAATTTAACAATCCACTCTTCTTAAGGGATGGGTTTTGCAGAGAAATTTAAGTTAGTGAGATAAGCTTGAGTAAATCATGCACTTAACTGATTTTTGATAATAGAAGAATTTGGATGGCTAAAAATCCTCCAAACCATAGAAACTAGAGAATATGGATTGTAATTATAATTTCATGCCAAAAATCACACGAACAAGTATCAGTTATTTTATTTCTCTTCCAGATACTTCTAATCATTTTTCAATTTATGTCACATTTAACAATGCATTTTATTCTACAAACCTTGGTCATTAATACACAAAAGGAAGTAATGTAATTGCAAATTATACCATAACAGAAGAATAAAAATAAACAGCAATGTATAAAAATACTTATATTAAATTATTGCAGGCTTTATTGTGTATCTTCTTTTACCCATCTTCTACAGTATATAGCTGTTATAGTGTATTCTTATTTCTAATAGGTAGGGGGCAAGTCTATACAACTTTTTAACTTGTACTTTTATGAAGCTGAATAATCAAACACATGGATGTTTTCAACTTCCACCTTCAGGTTTAAAAAGGAGCTGATTGCAGATAATTACAAGAGAATTTCACCCAGAGATCTCAGAGAGCCACTGGCAGAGTAGGAAATAGTGGATTTAAGAAAAAATGGAAAAGTTGGTGTTTATTTATTTATTAAATTATAGTATAGGACACATTTCATAAAACTGGTAGTAGCAGATTTGGCATATAAAAATTGCCAAACTATGCATATTTGGTCAGAGGTTCCACAATATTTGATGGATTCCACTCTATATTGATCATTTCAGCATTGTACTTTGATATTGCAACTGTACACATAATTATTTTTGGAGTGTATCTTACTCAACTATCTGAGACACTCTTCTGACAACAAAGGATGTTGCAGTAATGCTACAATATAATGTACAGATAATGACAGTTAGCGGTAAGTTGAAATACATTTCTCTTAAAAGTAACTCACATATTAACAGTATAATTTTTTTTGTTTTAAAGGCCAAAAAAATAGGTAAATACAAGGAATATAGAACTAACAATAATTAGCAACAAAACAGAACTTTTATGTACCCAGCATGTGCAAAAATACTGAGGATGGGGAAGGCAATCATTTTCCCACTTTGTGGCTTTTTGGGCCATTTGGTTAGTCACAGGTAGAAACAGCATGTTTGATTTATAGACTTTTTTTAGGCCAGAAATGATATCAATAAATCCTTACTCTTTAAATAGAAGTACTTCTTTGTGATTTGATATCATCATGCTTTGAAATAAATTCCCTATTATCAACCCTACCATTCCATCTATCCTCCTCAAATTTCTTTAGCAGTCATCAGAATGAATTTGCTTTTTCTCAAAATTCTTCGACTATTCCATTTAGAAAGCACTCAAACCCATTTCCCTTATGGGCTTACCTGAACAGGATACATGAAAATCAGAGCTAAACCTGTTGAAGAGAAGCAAATTTTTACAGTACAGTAATGATGTATTTTTATTGTTTTGTCTATTGCTCTGAGGGTAAGATATAAAAGAAATAGAGCTTCAAAATTAGAGCAGAATTTGTGAAGAAAAAAATCCATATATAGAATGTACTTCAAGAAACAGAGTGGTCATTCAGATGACACATAAAATGCTAATAACAATGAATATAATGCTATGGTGTTTATTTGTAATGGTTCTCAAAATCTGAAGATTAAATAGTGAAAAGGTTAATATATTGCTAACCACCTCCAATATTTTTCTTCAATTATTCTCTGACATTGCTTGCTTATGATAACAACTAGCTATCAAAATCAAGACCTTTATTAGGGAGGTTAATGTGAGGTAGGAACTCCATTCAGTGTTATTTTGGCTTAAGGGCATAATGTCACAATTTAGTGCATCCTTTAATGACTTTTTTTCTAAAGCCAGCTTGCAGCTTAGAACTAATTCAGCAAATTTCCTTGTAGGATCTTCAGGAGATATTTGGGGGCGGAGTGGGGGGAGAGAAAGTACAATTGATTATGTAGCCAAATTTCTGTTCAAGCCTGCTTACTGATTTTTGTTCATTTCACAAACAAACAAGGCATGAATATATCAACCTACAACCCATAAACAATAAAGAACTTCATCCTGTAAGTTTGCTACGGGCAGCAGTTTGTGCCTGAATCTGCTATTTGTCATAAGACAAATGATAAAGTGATTGCCATTTGTTACTGAATACACAAGAGGAGTGTTCATCTGTGAACCACAAAAATGCAGGCAACAGTAAATACTGCTGTTCTCAATGCTAACTACTAATAAAAAAAATCCCTTTATGTTGATAGCCAAAAATTACTTTGGCAGAATATACTAGCAGCAGCAGTCTTAATTTGATTGGAACAATTACACCTTGGTCAAGAACGCATTATTCAGAACATAAATATCCTAAACCCACCAGATTACAATTTTCAAGGAAGCAAAAACTATATATTATACAGAAAGGTAGCTTTTAAAATTGGGAGTAGAATTTAATTTATATGTATTATTCCCATTTCTGTAGTGTTCAGTGATTTTAATATAAACTTTTTTTAATGTTTCTGAGTCACTGATGCTTGACGTCTTTCTGCTATATTAATAGAGTTTATAACAGTGCCCATACATTAATACAGTCTGTGTTTTATTCAGGCGTTGATGGACTTTAGGGAGTACCTAAATTCTTTGTTGTTGTACTTGCTGGCAGCTATAAGATTTTTATTAATGTAATGTTACCCAACAATAAAATAATTCTTAATATGCAAATGACTTTTCTCTGGAACTTAAAGGGCTGCTCATTAAGTTACAACCTAAAAATAGTGAAACTAGCTTCCTTCTCAATAGTACTTTAATTCTGAGTTCTCAAAGAGAAATCCTATGATATATTTGCAATCTGTTCTGAAAATAGGATGTACATTAATGCAGCATGGGGGAACAGCTGTTCAAAGAAAAAAGATAGTACAATTGTATAGGTACACAAATCCTTAAGCATGTTTACAGTAGCTGTTATGATTGCTTCTAGATATAATCTCTGTAGTCTTCATAGAGAAACAAAGAAAATTCTCTTTTATATTACAATTGCTCCATTTTCATATTTCTCCAAAATTATGGTGCACAATGTATACTGTCTGTACAGAAATGGCCATGCTTGAATATCAGGGATTATATTTTTGTTTAGGCAATCTCTTGCAATTGGGCCCAGAATCTTGGCCATTGAGTGAAGCCACATTATTGCTTCACTCAACAACTGCAATCCCAGGTCTCTCTGGTGCAAGTTGTTAAGCGGAGTTCCACAGAGAGGGTCTGGAGTGATGGAATGGGAAAAAGAGTATAGACCTCCCAACACACTCAAGAGACCCAGGCTCTCTCCCCACATCACAAGGGAGAACCTTGATCTGTCCCCGTACCCACACACACACAAACACAGCCAGCCGAGGGTTAAGGAAACACTTTGGAACGCACCCAGGTCTTATCTCCCACTTGGCAGCGATAGACACACCGTCTGCCAAATGCCTTTATTTTCACAAACAGAAAGATAAGGTACTTAACGTGCAAAAAGTCCAAGCAGAAATAATATTTCTCTCCGCAGTTCCGGACGAGGCTTTAGTGACTATCCAAGGTTTACTTTTGTTCGTCACAAGGATCACTGACCACTACCCTCTATTATATAGTCTCTGGGGTGTGGTCCAGTGACTCAGTTCTAATCCCTAGCACGCCTCCTAAGATGCTGCAAACATTTATCACGCCTTCGGAGGCGTGCGTCCAGGAATGATGTTTCTTCGTCACTCTGATCCGAGCCAGCTGTCTCCCTACTGATCTCCTCTCCCTCGGCCGGCACCTGAGACAATGCCAGAGGGGAGGGGCCTGGAGAGGGAGACCTGGCTGACTCCTCTTCCTCATGCTCGGAGCTTTCTTCCTCCGATGGGACAGGCTCAGAGGGCGGGGCCACAACAAACCTTGAGAATGATGGTATTCACTATAATTTTCCTGTTTGGCATTTACTAGAGTTTTCCACTCCAGAGGGGAAATGCTAGTGAATGCCAGCTTTCTGAAAGGGCCAGAATGTTAGCGTTCACCAGAGCTTTCCTCTCTGGAGGGGTGAAAATGCTGATGTTTGCTAGCATTTTGCCCTCCGGGAAAACGCTAGCAAACACCAGCATTCTCAAAGGTTGTGAAAACACATAAAGTATTTTTGCCAGATTTGAGGTCCACTCAAGTGCACAGGAGGATTTTCCCACCCAGCATGTGGAGAGTGGAAAAAAATGCCTTGGTGAACTGGGGGAATGGCTCTCAAATCCAACATTCCCTGCTGGCTTCCCCATTGGTTTTATGGGGAAGATGGCAGAGAAGATTGCAAATGGTGATCACATTATGGCAGGACACTTGGCAACCAGTCATAAATGCAAGCAGGTTGCCAAGCTCTTGAAATGCTGATGCAACATTTTATGACAGCCAGAAGTATTTTACAGGCTGTAAAGCACCTCTCTCTAAGACGATCATGACTGCAAATGGCTGTTAAACAACAGATCATAAGTCAGGTACTATCTATACTTCACTATGTACTGCTATTTGACTACATAGCTGGGGGAAATGAAATAATTTATTCAGATGAATATCTGATAGTGATGTTGCTGTTCTTTGAATATCACTACCGAAAAAGTACCTATTAGTGACAACATCTAACTAAATGTGGGAAAAAACCCTCAAATAATTAGCAGTTGTCTCTATGGGAGTCTGACAGAAATCCCAAGACCACAGACAACACTGGAAAGTTGACAAATTATGTTTGAAGAAGACAATGGCAACCTACTTCTGGATTATTGACAAGGAAATCTAAATGGATTTCAATGCAAGAGAAATTTTAGCTTAATTTTGTTATCAAATCTGGACAGTTAACCACATTAGTGAACACGTATAGTGAACAGAAATAAGAGATGCAATTGATCCTTATGTGGAGAATAATAGGTTATGCAACCCTTGCCAAAATACATATCCAAGTGCCTGATAAGTGATGAGTTACTTGCAAGCATAAAGGCTGGATTTCATGACTTTGGAAATGATCGCTTGCTGCTAGTAAGCAAAGAGAGTTTGCCCTCTATCTTCCTGAATAAGAGAAGCTGGTATCTAGCAGCTATATGTGTATATATAGAAAAGGATGTTAAATTGTGTTACTAAACAAGAGAATAGAGATTATGACAGGGTTTGTTTGGGATTATTATTACTATACTCTTTAATGTTTATAGATATATAAAACCTTGGATCCAACAGAAGAATATACAAATCTATATATGGTTTCAGTCATCTATCCTGATTCTGTATGACAACTTCCCATCTACTGTTAAGCATATCTATGATTGAATCATAAAATTTATTTTGATTCCATTTTGAAAACAATACCTACATAGACTTTAGAGTAAATTGGAGCATTTTCAAAATATGCAACATGGAATCTTCAGTATTAGAAAGGTGCGAGAACCAGTAATTATCTTTATCTAGTGAGAGCAATAATTGACTTTATATATCCCAAGATAGTTTTTCTGCTTGAGCAATTTTTATGACGATCTTTTTGCTACCCACCAGATTTCATCTGTTTTTCTTTAAGAGCTTTTCCATATGTTTCTATAGTAGTTACTACATACAAATGGATGTGTATGCAGAACTTCCTATAATTGAAATTAAAATGCAATAGTAATAATAATGCAATAACAAAATTCCTCATATGTATCCCAGCTACAGAATTTAAAACTGAAATGACATAAAATGTTTATGTAATAAACACATTATATAGTCTATCCAACTATATTACAGATGTACTATATAATCCACATTCGATTTCCCAGGGGTGGCTTTGTTAGAATCATTCAGTATTTTGCAACATTAAACATAATTGGACAGCAATCTTGGACAGCAATTACATGTGTTGATCTGGTCAACAGCTATGGGAAATAGTTCAATAGTGACTGTTTGAAAAATATAAAAATACTTAAAACATTGGCTTCATAATTTTGGGAAAGATTAACATTACACTCACATAAAGAGTTTGGGTTATGTATGAGTCACATAAAAACATATTCTATTTATTTTGCTTTTTTTATACAAATGGAACACTGAAACAGGAAAGCCTGACTTTTAGGCTTTTGACAGGAGTCTTATATAAGTGGAAGACTTTTAATTCTCAAATTGTTTCACTTCAATAACTCTTTTAAAGTTGTTGCGCCAAGATGCCTGGCGGATTAAGCTCCATTGCCTTTTCTTGTTTTGAACTAATGTATTCTTGATCACCGTTTAATGAAACTATATACCACATGGAGATTTCACATTAGATAAGCCATGTGAAACCCTCATCAGACAAGTAGCTCTGGCTGGTGGTAATCCTTCAGATGAAAATTTCAGACTAGCAGGTTTTCCAATTTAAATGAGCCCCTTTAACTATAAAAAATTGGCACGGTATGA